AGTGTGTTCAGTTTACGCTTCCTTGTCTCGTCAGTTCTGATTTGCCCCAGCTGTGTTTCCCTCCTGTTGTCCATTCCCTGATTGCTCCCTCTATGTATTTAAGCCCTGTGTTTCAGTTTGTCATTGTCGCGATCTACCGTTTATCTAGCTGTGTGTTCTGTCGGTCTGTCCGTGTAAGTTTATTTTTTGGATACTCAGTTTTGTTACTTTTTTGAGTTTAACATTAAAGCTGTTTTGAGTTACTTTCTGTCTCCGGAGTCTGCACTTTGGGTCCTATATATATATATATATATATATATATATATATACACAAAAAACTTGAATTTTACAGTGTTTATTATTACCATGGCTATCAAGTACTGATGTCCTCTAATATGTTTTTGTGAAGTCTAAAGACAATCCAAAAATATTGTGGGTAAAGTAAAGTTTACTGATTTAAGATGCAGTTTAAATCTTGCTAGAAGTTCATTAGACTGCTAGCAAGATGTAAACTGCAGGTTTATAGGGTTTCTTTTCCCTACATCACCAGCATGAAAATGTTTTTATCATAGGACAGTTTTATTTACAGAAACCCACTCACCGTAGTCTAGTGATGTTTTTGGACCATGGCATGCCAACACCATTGACCACGACAATCAACAACAAATGTGTAGAATGACAGAAAGAGTTGGGAAAGAGAGGCAAGAGAACACAAACAGTCATATTGTACAGCATAAACTGATAACAATCAGCAAATAATCGTATGCAGATACATATACACACATGTGTACAGAGATATACTTATAGTAGACTGAAAAGTCTGGAATAAATAAAGAAACTACCCACAAAATATGCAAAAACACTGTAAAATATAACTCAGCCGAATATCACACATTGAAGGTTACTCTCTAATGTGGATTCAGAAAAACACCTGTCCTGTAATTATTGCATCGTATCAAAACATTACTACCTAAAATCCTTTCCTTTTCCCCAGCTATATTGCCTTTTTTGACTCTGCCATGTGACTGACCACTGGCTAGTTAGCTTGCTTGCAATTTTCTAAACTGCAGTGTTTTTATGTATCCCATGAAATATTTAAGTGAGAGTGAGGTGGGTGGGGAAAAGTGCTCTTACATTGATTTCCGTCACCAGGATGTCAGTAATGCTTCCCAACACTGTCACAAAGTCAAACACATTCCAAGCATCCTTTAGGTAGTTCTGAAAAACAAAAAACAAAAAACAAAACAAAAAACAATAAAATAAGGAGCTGTGCTTTACCTTTAAGAGTATTTAGAGTTGCTTTATAATGACTACCCACCAATGGCCCAAAAGCAATGATCTTGAGAATACATTCCAGAGAGAAGAGAGTGGTGAACACTATGTTGAGGTTCTTTAGCATTACTTCATAGAACTCTGGAGCTCCATAGAACTACAAGAGAAGGGCAAATGAGACGTTAAGGCACATTTTAAGGTGACGAATAACGATTAGCTTTTCCTCCTCAGTGTGTCAGGCTAATGCATTCCTTCTATGTCCATTATATGGAGACTATACCCCATAGTGCTTAAAATATGAAAATCTTGATACAGATGGAAGGAAAGTGGACAATACATGTAGAAAGGCTAATTTAAAACATATCCTGTTCTCAAAAACTGACATAACTATAACTCTATAGCTGGACTCAAGAAATACGTGCTTAAAGA